TCTTGGTTCGGTGGATTCTTTTAAATAAAATTCTTAATTGGGCCAGATCCATATTTCATTTAACTATAGTTGTGCTTTGCATCTTGCCCTACAGTTAAATTATTTCTGGTAGGAATAAATTCCAATTGTAACAAGTTACAACTCTGGTTGGATGATCTGATTTTATTTATTGATCCTACCGCAGTGCCCTAAGTCTCTCATCCATATGACCAAGACTTAGTTAAGACTAACCTGGGGCGAGTTAGTACCCTAGTTACGGGTTTCGCGCCTAACCAACGTAAACCGGGCGTCTCACTTGGGTGAGTCCGTTACCGATCTAAATTGGGTTTGACGAGTGACAGGGCGTCGGGGTGGCACAGACTTAAAATTATGAGGGATTTATTACGCAGTCTTGCCTATGGCATACACCGCGCGCATGCACTAGCGAAAATCTTATACATGCATACATTCAATCATACATCACATGCATAATAAGTAAACGTGAAATGATTGTGGCTCCTAAAGAAAAACAAACGACAGCGCTTTGATCAAGAGATCTCTATCTCCGGCCCATCACGTCTTCCTTAGGATTCTCCATCACGAACGGACTTCGTCTTCTTTTCTTTATAATTTTTGAGAGAAAAGAATATTGAGGAAAAGAAGAGAATTACATCCAGAGTATAGAGATGAGGCACGACATGCAGGCCGTATTTAAAATTATAACAAATATAACTAAGCCACAATCATCCACCATGCAATAATACATACAAGTATCACATGCATCACATCATACATATTAAAGCATACACCGGGCGAACCGCGCTCGCCCCAGACCTAGTTTATTCTATTATACGGAATAAACTATCAACAATAAATTAATTAAACTAGCAAGTAATTTAATTAAAAATCATTAAATACTTTAAATTCCCAGAATGTTAGAAATTTGATTTTCTAAATTCCAGAAAATAAAATATTTTATATTTACTGTATATATATATTTACATTCGAAAAAGGGATTTTATTTCGAATTAAATACATATATGTTTTCTAAATTAGAAAATAATTATTGGAGACTCCCAATAAACTTTATTAATCTGGAAATCCTAAAATTCCAGAATGAATAAAATTTAAAATTTTGAAAACCATTTTTCAAAGCTAGAAAACCGAAATTATATTGTGAAAATATATTTCAAAACTCAAGAATTATCAAAATTTATTTTTCAATTCAAAAATAAGTTCCAGAACTAGAATAAACTTATGAAGCCTCCAACGTATCCACACGAACTTGCTCCGGGAGTCCTAGATTAAACTTGTGCTAGCAAGTTTAAAATAGGATAGTAAAAACTATAATAATACTAATTTGGGAGTAATAAATATATAGTAAAATATTTATCTTATAAATATTTCTTTATAATATTTTGTGTATATTTCTAACACACTTGCATTCTTGCATAATAAAAGTTCATCCGGATTCAATTTTTCTGCTTATTCCAGGATTCAGATTCTTACAATTAGCTAAAATCAGTTGGTGCTGTATTTTTCTTATATACTGAGTATAATCAATTCTTAATTTTGCTCTCCAGAATTTGAATCCTAGTGGCAAACAACTTCCTCTCTCCCACTTTGTTTGTTTCATTGCAGTTTACATACAACAAAAACAACATTACCCCAGTGGTCAAAGGCTACCGCTCATGGCTAGGTGGGGGGGGTTGGATGTACGTAGCTTGACCCCTAATTTTAGGTACATAATAACTCTTGGATCCCTGAGGTCTATACGAGACGTGCTTCGTCTTGGTATCATAAATATGTATTTTTGCAATGTCCTTTGCCCATTGTCTTTTGGGTTTTGATAATGACAAAAGGGTGACAAAACATCATCATCATTTTGTGCATCAAGGCTAAGAATCAAAGCTACAACAAGTTCATATCCGTCCGTGAAGAAGGGACTTGAGCATCGGTGGAAGGAACGAGACCGAAGAGGTTGTTTCCTTAGTTGGGTTTTGTTTCAGAGCTTAGCATTTTTGTTAAAGTGTATGGCATGTTAGTTGTTCTTCCCTCCTTGAAAATGTTTTCCAAAAACTCTTCAAATTGTTTTTGAGTCAATTGCAAAATAACATTTTCAAAACTGTGAGAACTATTCGAATAACTCTTGTTTTACTCGAATAAGTCTGAGTTTTCAGTTCTGTCTTATTCGAATAAATAGCAGTTTATTCAAATAAGTCCTGAAGCTCATTTCTTCAAATCCTACAGTGATTTAGTCGAATAAACCTTAATTTATTCGAATAAGTCTGTGTTCTTCGCTCTGACTTATTCGGATAAATCTGATTTTATTCGAATAAGTCGTCAGTTTGAACTCCGGTTTTGTCAGTTTTTAAGGAAGTTTTCCATCCCTATCTTCCATAACTCACTTACAACGGCTCTTTTGCTTGAAGAACATTATATATATCCATTCAAACATATTCTTTTATCAATCCAAGCAATTCAATTCATACTTTTGATCCTTCAACATTACTCCCAAGCAATTCTTCAAGAAATCAATATTTGCTTGAGTTTTGAAGAGTACTAGTGTGCCATACTCTATAAGTTCTTGTATTCTACAGCAATCCACTCTTAATTTGAAGAGTATTTCCGTTGTGCAATTTGTTTTGGAACAGTGTGTGAATTGTAAAAACTTGAAGTTGTTATAATTCAAGTTTTTGGAGAGAAATCCTAAGTCTTGTGAAATCAAGACTTCGGTGGAAAGGTTAGAGGCTTGCAAATTCAAGTTCTCGAGTTGTAATCGGATTGTCAAACTCCGTTAAGTTTGACGAAGTTAGTGGAATCTCGGGCACGTTTGCTTCGGGGACTGGATGTAGGCATTAGGCCGAACCAGGATTCATCGTGTGTTGCTCCTTCTCTTCATCTTTGTGTTCTTGTGGTTGATATACTCCTGCGAATTTTTGTTCTTCCAAAAGTTCTTGATTTTTGAAGAACACCTCTATTCACCCCCCCTCTAGAGGTGCGTAAGTTGTTCAACATTAGTCTCTCCTTAATCGCATCGAACACTTGTTGTGCTTTGGGATTCCACTCAAATTTCTGATTTTTTGTCAAATCGGTGATGGGTGCCGTGATGGTGCTGAAATCTTTCACAAATCTCCGGTAAAACGAGGCCAACTCGTGGAAGCTTCGGACTTGCTGCATAGTAGTGGGAGTCCCCAATCCTTAATGGCTTGGGTCTTCTTTTCATCAACCTTGATTCCTTCACTTGAGATAAAGTATCCCAAGAATTCCGTCTCTTGAGTAAAGAATTGACTCTTTTCGAGATTTCCATACAGCTTCTCATCGTCTAACTTCTTAATCACCAAGGTGAGGTGATTCACGTGCTCTTCTTCGCTTTTGCTATAGATCAAAATGTCGTCAAAGTAGACAACGACAAAATGACCTATGAATGGCTTCAAGACTTGATTCATAAGCCTCATGAATGTACTCGGAGCGTTGGTTAACCCGAATGGCATGACGAGCCATTCGTATAGTCTGAATTTTGTCTTGAATGCCGTTTTCTATTCGTCTCCTTCAAAGATACGGATTTGATGGTAGCCACTCCTAAGATCAACGTTTGAGAAAATCTTAGACCCGTGCAGTTCATCAAGCATGTCTTCCAAACGTGGGATTGGGTACCGATACTTGATAGTGATCTTATTAATAGACTGACTATCACAGCACATGTGCCACGTTCCATTCTTTTTGGCACCAAGAGTGCTGGGATGGCACATGGGCTGAGGCTCTCCCTTACGAAACCCTTTGCCAGTAGTTCATCAACTTGGCGTTGAATTTCCTTCGTCTCCTCGGGGTTCATCCGATATGCTGGTTTGTTCGGTAGGGCAGCCCCAATCTTGTGTTGGATGTCCCGCTTAGGTGGGAGACCGTGTGGAACATCATCGGGGAAAACATGGGCATATTCTAGGAGGATAGGCTCGGCTAAGGGATGAGGATGTTTTGGGAGGTTTGATGATTCAGCTTCTCCATCTTCTAATAGGATCAAATCTTTAATCCCATTGAATTCATGTTGTTCCGCTTGTAGGATAGTGGAGATAAGAACGGGAGGTTGTTCTTTGGTTGGTTTGGCCGTGGCTGCAGGAGGGGGTAAAGGGGTAAGGGTGATCTTCTTCTTATTCATCAAAAATGAATAAGTATTGGCATAACCATCATGTTGCACACGGTGATCAAAGAGCCATGGTCGTCCCAAGAGGATGTGGCAAGCGTCCATCGGGATGATATCACACCACACGTCGTCTTTGTACGAGCTGCCAATGCTCAAGGAAATGAGACTTTGTGTGTCAACACGTAGACCCTTGCCATGTTTCAACCATTGAATCATATATGGTTTCGGGTGTGGTGACGTCTTCTAACGCAGCTTGTCTACCACGGTTTTGGAAGCCACATTGGTGCAACTTCCACTATCGATGATGAATTATGAACCAATATATGCTGAATTGTCCTTGGCCTGTTATGGTTGTTTATTCAGCTTGGTTGGGGAACATAAGGGGACCACTGCTACTACATATTGGGGAAATAATGGGTTGGGTTTTGGCTCCTAGTTTTTGGCCATTTCAGGGAGAAGAAAAGGGTTTGTGGTTTTAGCATGTGGTTTGAAATGTGATGACGTGTTGTGGGGGTGTGTGGGTTCGGCCAGGGTAAAAAAAAGGGGGAAAGGACTTGGGTTTTGATTTGGATATTTGGGGGGGGGGGG